GTATGTTATCATATAAATCAATGCTGGGATACCTGCTCTTCATTTTAAATGCATAATTTTTGCAAGATATTATTATCCTTATGGGATATTGCGCATGCACGAGCACCCTTTCAGGCGCTCAGAGCGGACTGAAGCAAACTGCATAATATAGCTTGCTGAGTGAGAGAGGAATGGGACACTGAGGACAGACGGCAGGAAAGATAGCTGAGGGCGGTAGAAGATTAAGGAGTCTAAGCGAGGGGCAAGAAAGGCAGTGGGAAAACGGGAGGGGATGATGTATATAAGAGTTTTGCACCCTGCAGGCTAGGGCATTCTCCTAATTATAAACACAGGTCTACGTGTAAAACTTCCATTCAGAAATTCTATGCTGAGATACCCCCTAAACCATAATAATGCAAATGATAATAAATGAATGTATGGAATATATGAACGTAAACATAGGTCTATTATCTTGAATGTTAAATCTTGAATCGAGAATCTTTTTTTTCTTTTTTAATATATTATGCAGCTGCGCGGTTCGGGCTTTGGGGGCCAAGCGGTCGGTTTGGCAACATTAAAATGCTAGTATTACACATTTACAGACAGATTTATAAGATGTTTCCACAATCCACCCGTCGAATGATTTATTTTTAATAGTAAATACATAAAATCACATACATAAACAACAATGATTAATGCATTTATTAGTTTAGGAGATGCTATATTAATTGCTTCCCCATTTTTATTCATCACTTTACATGTTTAGGTTCTCGTCGCCGATTCCAGCATATTCAAGACTTTTACATGCTTTCACGATTTTCTCCATTTCCCCTATTTTAGTTAGATCCATGTGAGAATGAGCATGAAATGTTTTTTTTTTCTCTAACTTGGTGGTAGGCGTATATAAAAGATCTCTTCCTCCTTGCCTATTACTTTCACGTGCGCTCTCCTCTTCTCACCTCTTTCTCGTCTACCCTCGCTCTCATTTCTCGATCTATCAGTGTATCTTGCTTGGTCTCTTTTTCTCTGTTTCTTCTCTCTATTCTCTCATTTTCTTTCTTTCTCTCTCTCTCTTCGGTCTCTTCTCTCTGCATCTCTCTCTCTCGCGCTCTCTCTCTCTCTCTCTCTCTCTCTCTCTCTCTCTCTTTATGCTCTTTCTTCTCTTCTCTCTCTCTTCTCTATCTCTCTTCTCTCTGGATCTTGTCTTCTCTCTTATCCCCCCCTCTCTCTCTCGCTTCCCTCTCTTTCCTTATTCTCCTTCTCCTCTGTCTGATTCTCTCTGCCATATGCTTTTAGCGAATCTCTCTGTCGCTTTCTCTCAACCCTCTTTCATGTCTCTGTTTTCTCCCCTTTCCTATTCCTATTTCAATACGATTAAGTGTAACCTATCGCATCACTGTCATATTCAGCCATTATTTAAATTGCTACCTCAATCACACATTGGATAAATGAAAAACAACGCTATAAGAGGACGTGCGCAAAGTCTTTATAGATAATCAGCATCGGCAGCTTATTCTGCAATCTGGGATCTGTCGGCCGGCAACGTCAGAGAACGACCAATGTTATACTTGTTACGAATTTTTTGATTTAATTGTTCTAAATGTTTACCTGCAATCTATGCAGCTGTTGATTAAGTTCCAATTTTTGGGTCTGTTGCATATCATTATTACAGGTATATACATGATGGAAAGGCTCTAATGAAATTTTCGCGCAACGTTTATTTTTCGCCCATTCATAAATATAGAATGCGAACAAAGTGAGTAATACTTGAGAAGTAATTGGTTTATTTTATTGTTTCATTACTGTATTATCGAGTTGTCTGTCTGGAGCCTACTAGCAAGTGGAGTAATAACTTTTCCGAATAGACTTTCACTTGCGACCCGGGTAATCGGGACACCGTAAGTGTCAAGACTCAACTTTACCATTATTGTAGAATGTAATAAATAAACATAATTATACATATATATTATATTCGCAATTTGCATTTTTCCGAGGGAAACACACGGATCATCCAATGCTCCATGCGCTCCAACCGCATCGTGACGATTCATCGCACGAAGTGATAGGGAAACGGGCACCGACTGAAGTAAGTTTCAGTTTTAACATAATTTGTTACTATTCTCATGATACTTGTTAGCTGTTAGAGGGTTAGCGCCAATTGTATATATTGTGAAGTGTTCGAGAAGTATTTTGATTTTGCAGGAATTAGCCTTTGTTTAACGAACACTATGGTTATTTCTAACATAGGGAAATTTGTTACTTCTCTATTAACTTTTTTGTATTTATTACTTATTTTTTCACCGGGATGCTGTGGGCGTGGGACGGCGCGGTGTGGCCCGTACCCACTTCTCTGCGGGGTGTGGCGTGCAGTGCTCCCTGTGTATGCTGCTGTGCCCGCCGCGGGCCGGCCCGTGGGTGTGTGGTCGGTGTGCGGGTAGGAAAAAACCCACGTTGTGGCGTGTCCGCGTGCGGCGTGTGTGAGTGTGGGTGTTGTTTGTTTGTGTGTGCTGATGTGTGGTGTGTGTGCGTGCGTGGCGGTCGCGTGCGTGCGCTGCGTTTCGGTGCGCTGCGTGTGTGAGTGTGAATGGGCGCGCGGCGCGCGCGCATTTATGTGTGTGCGGTGCTGTATGCTGGGTGCAGTTTGGCCCGGCCGTGCTGTGTGTGTGTGCGATGCGCGTGGCTGTGTGCGCGTGTGTATGTTTGCGTGCGTGGGTGTTCTATTGTGTGTGTCGGTGATCGCGAGCTGGTAGTGTGGCGTGTGTGTTGTGTGATTGTGTGCTGCGTGCAGCGTAGCGTGCGTGCGTGCGGTGCCTGTGCGTGCGCGAGCCCACGTGTGTGAGTGCTTGAGCTTGTGTGTGTGTGTGCTGTGTGCGCCGTGGTGTTATGTGCGTGCGTGGTGATTGTGTGTGTGTGCGTGCGTGTGTGTGCGCGTGTGTATGTGCCTGTGGTGGGTGTTTATGTGTGTGGTGTGTGTTGTGTGTGTGGTGTGCGAAGGTGTGTGTGTGTGCTGGGTAGTGCGGTAGTGTGTGATTGTGTGTGTGTTGTGTGTGTGGTGTGTGTGTGTCGTGGTGTTGGGTGGGTGGGTGTTGGCGTGTGTTGTGGTGGGTGTGTGTGGGTGTGATGTGTGTGTGGTGTGTGTGTGTGTGATGGTGTGTGTGTGTGTGTGTGTGTGTGTGGGGCTGTGTGTGTGTGTGTGTGGTGGGTGGGCGGGGGTTGTGTGTTCCCGTGCTGTGTGTGTGTGTGTGTGTGTGTCTGTGTGTGTGTGTGATGTGTGATGTGTGTGCAGCTGCGGCGATCCGCCGCGCGTGTGTGCTGTGTGTGAGGTGTGTGTGTGTGTGTGAAGGAGGCATGTGTGTGTGTGTGTATGTAATAGTGAGTGCCGTGCGTGTGTGCGGCGTGCGATGCCGTGACCGCTGCGCGGCGGAGCGTGCATCATGGCGATTGAAACGGCGCGCGTGTTGTGTGTGTGTGTGTGTGTGTGTGTGTGTGCGTATGTCCGTCTGTGTTTGTGTCGGCCCGGCCTACCTACATTCTCTCGCCGTGTCCGTGTGTGTGCGTCCGGTTTGGCTCGTGTTATATGTTCTTTCGCGCGTATGTTTCAATCCTCGTCGCCATTAACACTTCTGTCAGTTCTTGGTAACATTAACAATGAACACATTTTCTCTGCTTGCACAAATGACATTTGAATGATTAATCTGTAAGGCTTATGTTATCGTGGTCCATTGCAAGTCATTTGGCCATAACCCTAGTTGTAAGAACGGTTTTTGTCTAAAGTTTTCAAAATACAATTTCATACTAATTAGACTTTAACGCCTTATTTTTACAGATACCAAATAAATTCTTTTTTTAAATATTTAATTCATTCCAGAGTAATAAACATAGATAATCTATATTTATGAGTTACAAAAAAGAACAGAATCATTCAAAGGAGTAAAAGAATACTTAACGTCTGAAAAATCGTATTATTATAAAAAATAATTAAAAGATATGTCCTTATTTATTATTTTGAAAACATTAAAAAATACTGGAAGGAAATTCAAGAATACATCGCTGCACTAGCGGTGAATAATTCGTACTATTGCTATGCTATATCAGCGTTCAGGTAGTGCAGTCACCACACCACCACCATCGCCACAGGAAACCATGAGGTAGTTGGCACGTACAAGCGCGCGTACGCACGCACACAAAATTGATACGTATGTGTATATCTACATTCTATCACATGCGTTGGCTGTCGCGCTCACAGGGGGAGAGGATCGACTGATTAGCTTTACTTCTGAGCAATAATGGCGCAAGTTACCCGCACCCAAACCCCTCCTTATAATTACTACAGTCATGTGAAATGTAGGGCAGTGCTGCGGACGTGAAATACGGTGTATTGGGATCGCCACCCGCTCTAAAGCATAAGCACGCTATGACCCCGAAAACGACTGGTATATCCTATTGTATATCCTAAATAAAAATATTGCAACAAAATATTATTGCTTTCGGGGCGATTGTACGTGGTCGCAGAAACGCTTGCAGTAATGAAAAGTACACAACACGCTAGACAATAATTGTTCGCTCTTGTCTTTCTGGTGAGAAGTAATAATATTCCACGTTAATGCATTTTTTAATCAATTTTTTACTTGTAATGTCAGCTTCTGCCACGAGGTGGCAGCGTCATCCAGTCATATAATCGATTGTAATGCCGGCTTCTGCCACGAGGTGGCAGCATCGTCCAGTCATTTAATTGATTGTAATGCCGGCTTCTGCCACGAGGTAGCAGCATCGTCCAGTCAAGTAATTGATCGTAAATATATTCGTTATTATGGTAACGGCGCGTTTTTATTATATTTATTCATTTATTTATTTTATTATTTATTTATCAACACGCATACATACATATTTCAGTAAGCTTTTGCGAGAGGTGTGTAACTCAGTGACACAAAGAATAGTATTACACTGTCTCATAAGTGCGTTCACTCGGCCAGAGCCTTTACTCTTCGCGCACACCGTAGATTACCAAACTATCCCAGAATACACCGCTTTATTGTTTGAGCGGCATGGCGGACGTAAGTCAAGCTTTGAACGTGAAGCAACGTGATATAACGATTGCTGGGCTGTTATTATCAATGAGCAACGCTAGAGCTATGCGACAGTTTAGTAGTAAATGAAAGGAAATTTTACTTAGTATCACGGGCTGAGACTCGACGTTCTTTTATCGTGGTTATACATGTTCTTTGACTAGTCGGCACCGATTCTCCGCTCTAGTACTAGTAGTAGTACTAGTAGTACTAGTAGTAGTAGTAGTACCAGGAGTGTATCAATGTCGCTCATTTATTTATTTTGTTGACTGCATGGTTATTAATTGTGTTGTTTTTGCAACCGTTGAGGAAGTCAGTAGTCAGCAGTCCTGAATTTACATGACAAAACAATTAATTAAAATAAGTAAATAACCACAGATTCACTTTCAAGGTCCAGACTTTGCCCGAAACATTTGCTAAATAAATGATGCACTTTTCGAGCAAGTACTGAAGTAGTTGGATCCTGCGGCGTGTTCAACAGAGCGAATGCTCGCGAACGCTCTCCTTCTGAATGACACTGCGCGGACGAGCGCGCGCGATCCTGCTCCCGAGACTGTTCGCGCAGCGCGCGAGTTGTTTTCAAGATGGAGACGGGCAATCTTGCGAATGCGAATCTAACAATCGTAACATTTCTGACTTCAATTTCAATCTATTTCAACTTCATTTCATTTTTCATTCATTCATTCACTTCTAAATTCAATTCGTATCAATTTCGTCTGCTAATTCGTTTAACAGTACTTGTTCGAAGACATTAAAATCTCGCGATTAAAATCTGCTGAGTCAGCCGCCATGGTGGCCGCCATCTTGGATAAAGCGAGCGCTCGTGTATCGTTCAAGAGGCGCTGCGTTCGTGCTGCGAGCGTTCTCTCTGTTGAACACGCCTCAGTTTCACACACAAAAATGATGGGCCGGTCACCATGACTACGTCACTTGACGAAATGCCACAATTACACGACAAGACTAATATCTTGCATGCTTTCTAGATAGCCATTGGACATCTACCTTGCAAGTATAATGCAAATTAGTGTGCTCTAGTGCCAAATAAGACTATGAAAAACCGAGAAAAAATGCTTTTTCCAGAAACAGTAATGCGACGGTGAACAATTGAACTGTCAATTGCACTAAAGCTACTGTTGCATACCTCCTCATGTGCCTATCTGATACCAATTAAATATTAGTAATGTGTAAACCAATATCAGTACTAGCTACACATAGATACTTAGATCATGAAAAGTAGCTTAAATAGAATTGACGATATAACTATTTTTTAGTGTTCAGTATTATTTCCAGATAACATTCTGTTCTAGAACATTTCCATGAATTCTGTTTGTATGCTATATTAACAGACTACTAAAGTACCGGAAGTCCGAGAGATAACGCGCATAGAGCGTATCGGTGCGCATTCGCACATTCGAGGATTAGGACTAGACGATGCGTTAGAAGCAAGGCAGGTTTCGCAGGGAATGGTCGGCCAGTGCAAGGCTAGGCGAGCGGTCGGACTCATCCTAGAAATGATAAAGGTAATTAATATTAAGTTCCCTTCATTAATATATCTGAAAACTTTTTTGTTGAACGTAATTAGAATATGATGTTATTGGTTTACTGATTGTTGTACCTGTTCTGTGGCACGTTTAAAGGATGGAAAGATAGCTGGGAGAGCACTTCTACTGGCTGGTAGACCAGGAACTGGGAAAACTGCGATAGCTATGGGTAAGTATCACTTCTCCAGTACCTCATTAATTTATTAGGTCCCAGAAGATTGGCAACTGGCTTAATTTTACCAATAAATGTTCTCTCTCGTGATCAAAGATCAGATTAGTCGTAACAAAAATATTTGTATGAATATATGTATTTGTAGGAATGAATGTATGAAATAATGATATGGGCTTACATTGGGAATCGTGGTTTTTGTGTGCTTGCAATAGGACTTGCGCAAGCACTTGGACAAGACACTCCATTTACCGCCATGACCGGGAGTGAGATATTCTCGCTCGACATGTGCAAAACGGAAGCACTGTGTCAAGCCTTCCGCAAGTCCATCGGAGTGCGCATCAAGTAAGTTCATTACCTAGGTAGTAGCAGAGATGCCAACCACTACGATTTATCCGTATTTTATACGAATTTCTATTCCTTTTGCACCACTACGACCAGTTTGTATCAAACTACGAATTTCACTGTAATCGGGAAAACAAATAAATTTTGTCATTTTTTTTTTATTTATTGTAATTTTTGACCCTCAGAATGCAGGAAATTGCATCTCAGAATCAAACAATTTTCCGGGGGGCATACCGGACCTCCCTAGCAAACTCGGGTCACTACGAGACCTTCGAACTATTAATTTGATGGCCAGGAACTACAGATTGCTTTAAATATGTGTTGGCATCTCTGTAGTAGCTAACGTGCGTCGGCATTTGAGACGGGGAGCTCACAACAATTTTTACAAATTCCCCTATCGTTGTGCGGATTGTTTGGTTCGTGTCAGCGTTTATACAATGTTGCGTGTAGTCTCAGAAATGTGTCTTGTTGTGATTTGCGTAATATGTGTTATCATTATGTTATATATTAGTATATTGCACGGTTTTTAGGGAGGAGACTGAAATTATAGAAGGCGAAGTGGTAGAGATACAGATCGACAGACCTGCAACTGGAACAGTAAGTAATCGACCATCTTTATTCCCCAGCTCTTAACCACAAAAGCTTCAATCAGATAAATAACCTTATGGTAGAAATAATTAAAATGTTCAGCTGCAGCGGTGTCTAGTTTATAGGCATAAATAATTGACATGGTGTTTTTAACCTGCACATTTGTTGTATTCTTGCTTGTGATTGCACGTCCATTTGTTAATTCTTCCAGGGGCAGAAAGTGGGCAAGCTCACACTGAAGACGACAGAGATGGAGACCATCTATGATCTCGGAACAAAGATGATCGAGTCACTGACTAAGGAGAAAGTTCAGGCTGGGTGCGTAACGGCAAGATGACAAAAGTTCCCACTTATAACACTAGTAAAAGCTATTATGTTCCAGCGGCCGTTTCTCAGAAGCAGAATTAGTCTTAACGTTAGTCTTAACGTGCAGTTTTTCTCGAAGACCGGACTTCTATACATTGCGTATGAGAAACTCGTAACTCTACCATGTTTCTGTCGACCATTTATGAGAATAAGTTAATGTTAAGACGGATGTTAAAACTAATTGTGTTTCTAAAAACCGGTCCAGTTTTCAATATAGCGGATGGTCATTATTCCAATAACATGTCAATTCGACATGGGTAACTAGGGGCTATTTAAAAGGTTATAATACAATAAAACATGTAATATGTTATTTTAATACAGTGAAATCTATAGGTTGTAGGTCAGTATGGTATATTGTTCATGTTTACCTGTGTCACTTCTATATAGAGACATCATTACTATTGACAAGGCTACTGGCAAAATCTCCAAACTGGGACGTTCATTTACGAGAGCAAGAGACTACGATGCTATGGGAGCTCAGGTAACAGAAACTCAAAACTTACACTTACGCTAACTTAAACTAAACTCGTACTCTAGCTTTACTTTCTAGGGAATCAGCTCATTTTATTTTAATGTTATTAATTTTATATTATGTATATTATAATTATGTAATTTTAACTTTACGTACACGGCAGCTGCATTCAAGAAGAATGCAGAATGAAAAAAAGAGTGTGCAAGGAAAAAAACTGCAAATTTCCTTGTGATTTCTGCTACGCCTGAGGTGACGTCGCGTCACACGTCACCAGCTCGCGTGTTTGTTTGCAGACGAAGTTTGTCCAGTGTCCCGAGGGAGAGCTGCAGAAGCGGAAGGAGGTGGTACACACCGTCACTCTTCACGAGATCGACGTCATCAACAGTCGAACCCAAGGCTTCCTCGCTTTGTTCTCGGGTAAATCGCTTGTAGTAATTGCTCCATGCGTGATAATCTGTGTGATCCTACCCGTGTAATAGTCTGTGACAAACTTATTCTCGGGTAAAGCTCCCTCAGATTAAGTAGCAGCAGTAGTAATCGCTCCATCCCTGATAATCTGTATGATCAGTAGTAAATCAGTAGTGATAAAAAACAGTAGTGATCACTAGTAAATGTGGTGATCAGTAGTACGCTGAAATAGTCTGTGACAAAACAGTCTGCAATTGTCGTCGTATTATTTTGTGGTGACTGTAAGGTAATGGGTTCAAGTCTCATTCTGTATCTTGGTTGAACTTGTCTCGTATTGTTTCTGCAGCCTGCAATTTAGAGTGTTCGAAACTCGTTCCGTAGCAGCGTTGGTATTAAATAACCCTTTCGTCTCAAACGCGTAACCTCACGATTCACTTGCAGGAGACACGGGGGAGATCAAGTCTGAGGTTAGAGAACAGATCAACGCTAAGGTCGCTGAGTGGAGAGAAGAGGGCAAGGCAGAAATCGTGCCAGGGGTGAGTACCAACAATGGCTTCAATTAATCATCAAGCCTAATAATTACCAGTGGTCACATATTCCGATCGTTTTCGCATATTTCCAAGTTTAGAGAAGATTCTGTCGGTACTCGCCGGTAACAGCAATCCTTAACTTATGAGGCCTTAGCAAAATTACTAGTTATTCTACTTCTTACTAGTACTAATTACTAGTCGCATCGGTTTCGCATATTTCCAGGTTTAGAGAAGATTCTATCGGTACTAGCAGGAGAGTCTGTAATCTTGAACTTTGATGGGAAATCTTCCGTAGGTTCTGTTTGTGGACGAGGTACACATGCTGGACATCGAGTGCTTCTCCTACCTCAACCGAGCGCTGGAGAGCGACATGGCACCCGTTCTCATCATGGCGACGAACCGAGGAATCACGAGGTACGCCCGACGCTGTCCCCGTCTGCGTTCACGGGCGCTGCCTCCACGTAATCACCGTGCGGTGCTGCGTAGTCTGTGAACGGACGTGGTTAACGCGCGCGACTCGACTAGGCATCGAGAGCCGGAAATTATACACGTACAGGGTTCGTAGCGGGTCTTCCAAAGTCTTATAAGTACTTATTTTGCCAAAAATAAAATAAGGGCCCTTATTAGTACTTATTTTTGGTGAAATCTTAGAAAAGTACTTAATAGACCTTATTTTTTGCCAAAGATCTCGACTTAGAGTAAGAATTGTTGTATATATAATACGGAATAATTAAATCTGCTGTGCAATTGTGTTTATAAATTTTATTAGTGTACTTTAATAGTCGGTGATCTATCAGAAATCGTGTAAAAAAGTCTTATTTTGGCCTCCAGAAAGGGTCTTATAAGTCCTTATGTCAACATGTGTCTTACTACTATGAACCCTGACGTAGAAGCATCTAGCTGCGGAGTTCGTTCGTTAGGTCCCGTAGAGCCAGTCTGTGCCTCGTTTTCTCCACCTGTTGTTTTGTTATTAATTATGTTATTATGATTATCATCATAGTTATTGATTGATCATCATCATAGTTATTGATTGATTATCATCATAGTTATTGATTGTTTATCATCATAGGGTCGTCGTTGTCATTCGTGTTGTGAGAGTGTGGCATCGACAGGTTGTGACATGTACTATCGCACTGAGAGTGAGAGCGTTTCTTGTGTGTTCACAGGATTCGAGGTACGAACTACCAGAGCCCACACGGCATGCCGATAGACCTACTAGATAGACTCATCATCGTTCACACACAACCATATGACGAGAAGGAGACCAAACAGATCTTGAGGATCAGGTGAGCGTAGAATTTGTGTGTTTAGAGAGTTATCCATAGCCGTGTGGCTATCTCACACGCAACTACTGCCGTTCTGCCACACGTGCTGCGCTGTGGGAAATCGGGCGTCCTCTAGTGGTAGCGCCACCGACATTTCTCGCACTGAAAGTGGCTTATACGAGCTGCACTACCTTTGTGAAGGGCTATCGCGTCGTATTGCAGGACAATAGAGAGTCCGTGGATTGTATCTATTTCAACAGACCACGCCCGTGCACCTTTAATTGTGTGTACTGTCCTGTTCCGGGAAAAATGGAGAGTTGATAGATTATTTCTATCTCAACATCTGTTTAATCGTTTCTGGTTCATCATCGCGTGTCTCCGTGCTTGTTAACCATGATCTCCACTCCGGTCAAACCCGCGCATAACCGCCACTCGCGGGAAAACGGCAGTCGCAACCGCTGCAGACGGGCGACCGGCCCGACCTACTCATACAGAGCTGTACTCTTGTTTATTGCCCGCGCGCGCGCAGATGCGAGGAGGAGGACGTTGAGATCTGTGACGACGCGCTGACGGTGCTAACGCGCATCGGCATGGAGACGTCGCTGCGCTACGCGATACAGCTCATCACGACAGCCAACCTCGTCAGCCGCAAGCGCAAGGCCACCGAGGTCAACATGGACGACATCAAGCGTGTACGTAATTGTGTACTGATGTCACGATCATCGATTATACTCGATCATCGGTTGAACAGTGGCTCGAACCAAGCGCTTAGTGATGTCACGATCATCGATTATACTCGATCATCGGTTGAACAGTGGCTCGAACCAAGCGCTTGGTTATCAAAATCCATAATCGATTTCATCGGGAAAAAAAAAAATTGAAATAAATGTAAAACTTGAACAAGCAAACTTGGAAAAGTGATGAGAATCAGAGATATCATCGCTACTATACAAGTTATCCTTTATTAACATACATGTATTATACACACAGTAGTAAACAGTGCAAAACAAACAGTAAACAGGGCTAAACAAGCACATACATGCACACACGTACATGCATACGACGTTACGCACACGCATGCATTCAACACCCCGAGTAACTGATTGTAACCGATCATCGGTTACTTGGGTCCAACCAATGTTCGATTACGAAATTACAACCGATTGACAACACTATAATTGTGGCAACGGGTGGGCAGGGCGCGACAAACGGCGATCGACGGATCTGTTTGTGGAAGACAACCGCGGCTTTTCTCGGACGCTGTGGCTGCGTCTCGGTCCAGCTAGAGTCGTTTACGAGGAGTTTTTTCCACGCGTGCGCGTGTTAGGTCGTCGACCTTGTTGCACTTTGTCACTAAGCAGTATTTTTAGAGTGTTCCGTTGCAAATATGGTTGGCTGGAGCTACTTGTCGATCACTCTAGACGGATAGGTTGAGACTGAGGTAGAAGAACGAATACATCACTCCACCACCAAAACTTGAACAAGTGCAGTGTAATCTGACAAAGTATTTTCTGTGGCTGTTGAAATGGCTTGTTGTGAAAAAATGATTATAATTTCTTTCACCGTTAGACCTTTGTTAAACTTTTTAAAATTATTTTTTCAGGTGTACTCGCTTTTCCTCGACGAATCCCGATCGTCGCAGTTTCTCAAGGAGTATCAGGAAGAATTTATGTTCAACGAAATGGGTGCGTTCATTATTATTACAACGTAACGCTTTCGGAAATGGTAGAAACGTGATCGATTCAATTATTTTGCCGCTATGCTAATTTAGATTTTTGTTACTTCAGCGAGCAACGATAACGATTCCGTGGAGCCCGCAAACGAGAACGACAACATGGAGACAGTGTAGACGATGGAAGAGAGAACGGTTTCCTGAGTGCACGTCTGTCTGCCTGGGATTACTATATATTGCATCCTAGTAAATATCAAATGTTTGTATAGTGGATATATCTTAGTGATATTGAAGGCAATTCTGGAACGTCACCTGCCGTCTCCTTATGATGAAACGTTCACCAGCTGAATCGTTAAGTGTTTTTCGTCATGAATTTTTAGCGCCTGTATTATTTCGCGCATTGATTCGGAAAATATTTGCAAATGCATTCGATTGAAAATCTTTCTACACATAGTACATTGCAACATATGAAAGGTGCATGTTCGTATTTCGCAAGCTGTTAAAACTGCTTTTCGTACGTGACTGCATTTTAGTTGTTTGTGTGATAGCATGCAATCTGTGCCATTTCAAATAGAGATTATTTATAATCTATTTGTATTTCACCATATGGCCAGTTCCGTGTATTCTTATGTGAAATAGCAGTTTCTATATTCCACGTATTAACTCTATTAAAATTCACCATTTGCGTTCAAAGTGGTTTGCTAAGACAATTCTATTGTTTACTTTGTACAAAGTATGTAAACAATTTCTACGTGTTGTCATTTGGATTCGCTGTCATCTGGTTTACATTTTTTGTGTAAAATATAATCTTCAGAACTTTTTAATGGGTGGTTTTTATATCTTATTGTATTTTAGTAGTGTTACCATAAATTCATTTATAATGACTGCACCACTTGTTCACACTATGTTGCCCTAGGCAGAATACATTATAATAAACATATAATTCATTCGTTTAAGTGAGTTTCTTAAATAAATGATAAAACTTATTAAGAACATACAAGAAATAATCGTAGTGTTATAAGTAAAAATTGCTCAACGTAGAAGGAATAAAAGCGAAGAGTAAAACTATATACTCATACTATACATTCTAAATAATACCGATAGAGGGCGGCAAGCATTGCCATGTGATCTTTTTGAGGTCACCGTGTAGAAAAGAAAGCAAGGCAGTTTTCTGTTATTGCGAGAATGGCTAATCCAACGAAAAGTTTTCGGGACAATGCTCCAATGGACAGGGGATTGACTGCTGAGTCAGAGAACAGATTTGCGTTCGAAGTAGCATGGGAAGTAGCTAATAAAGGTACGTACAAAAGTTTCCCATTTACGATTTCCCATCGATTTCATGTGATGTGTCGGCAGCTTCAACTTGTTGTGCACTGAAGCCTGCAGTCATCAATGATATTGACGACACTTTGAAGTGCAAATGAAAAAATGAGCATGTATGATACACAGTCACAGGGCTATGTTACGTATGGTCTTTTCGTTTTCAGAATTGTATATTGTGGTGTTGTATTCGTGCGATTTGGTGGTGGTGACACGCAGTGCGGTTGGCGGGTTGGCATTTAATGAAATTTAATTTATTATTTAATTATGTTGATAAATCAATGTAGTGACCTGTTTGTGTAGGTTACACTTACAGTTTAGGCCCACGCATTTGATTAAAGATTAAAGTTGGCTCGTAATGACACCGAACGGGTTTAATAGTTTATTAGAATTTCATGGTCATATCAATATCATCAGTAGCTCCAGGAAACGGTATTGCTAGGGTTAGAATACCGGTGTATTGACGTTAGTCACACAGCCTGGTCGGGTTATATCATCAGTAGTAGTAGTACATCAGTTCATGCCCCATGGATTGTTTTATCAGATATAACAAGTCAATTATCGCGTGAAATTAGATTAAAAGTAATTCACTGTTTATGTCTGGTGAAATCAGTTCCTTGTATAATCTGGCAGTGCACGTAAAAGCAATAAAAATTTGCACCCATCAAAGATTAGATATCAAACTGTACATTAGGGTACCCACTAGCACTTCACATTGACATGCAATTCTAAAAATGGAATTCTACCATTGAACTTGAAGCTGCATATGGCACATTGACATTTATACTGCCCTAGAATCAGCATGCTTACAGGCACAGTGCGCCCATCAGTGCGTATAATAAGCCATATTTATATTCCCCGTGGAGCAATTTCGGAGATTGATCCCATTTGAATTATATAGCGCTCGGTACTTTGTGCCCAAGCCTAGTTTATCACCCCGGAATAGTTTAGCACATACGCGAAAACACATTTGTGGGGCCCAAACTATCCTTGATCCTTAACCTTGTAAGCTTTATCATGTTCTATTTTCTATTTTATTTCTTTTTTATACATTTTACACCTTATCCTAAATATTCCATTTCGCCATTTCCTCGGTCTGCTGCAGCCTATTCTATCTACATCTTATCCTATTCTATTTTGCCATCTGCTGCAGTTGGCGGTATCTACACGGTTATCCGTACGAAGGCTGCCATCTCTGTAGAGGAGCTGGGCGACCAGTACTGCCTGTTCGGGCCGTACAACGAGTCGTGCGTGCGCACGGAGGTCGAGATTGTTGAGCCGGACGATGTGCTCATGCAGAAGACAGTGAAGAAGCTGAGAGACTGCGGCTTCAAGGTAACGATGAGTTGCATGGGGGGGGGGCATTGTCATCATCAACATCATCGTCATCATCATCATCGGCACTATCATCATTGTCATCATCAACATCAACATCGTCATCATCATCGTCATCACAATCATCATCATCATCACATTCCTTATTATCATCATCATCATCAGGCCTAAAAAAATAAATGATGTGTTTCCGAGAACGGTCTTGGGAAAATTAGGTAGGGTAGGTAGGGATTTTTTTTTTTAAATAAAAAAATCTGAAAATGTCAAGTGTTCAGAGGTGAGGTGAGGTGAGTACTAGGGGTTTATGATTTATTTTTTGACTGATAATTGATTTTTGTGAATTGATGATTGATTTGAAAATGGAAAAAAAAGGGTCGGCCCCTATTTGCTAGGTAGGGTCGGGTTCTCGGAAACACATCTTTTTTTTTTTAGGCCTCATCATCGTTCTCTGTCTGTGGCGTCGATGGCGTGGAAAGTGGGAAATTGGGAATACTCATCCCAGTCCTCCCGTACGAACCATGGAATACTCATCCCAGTTCCCTCCTGTCCTTTGCCGACCTTTAACGATATTTCACGATTGATTTTTTGGTTTAATTTTGCGTTGCCTCGAATGTTCTCTGTCTCGATTAAAAGGATTTTATTGATGCTCATGTAGATCGATTACGTCTGTCATGGCGGTTATGGGATTAAGTCGATATTGGCCTGCAGGGGCGGATCTAGCTTTCAGGAGACGGGGGGGTTGATAGTTGAGTGAAGGCGTGTCGAAGACAAGCGGTGCTAGGGTGGCACCATTTTACTAGTTAATTGATTGATTGATTGATTGATTGATTGATTGCAGGTGTACTACGGACGATGGCTGATCGACGGCTACCCGCAAGTGGTGTTGTTCGACATCGGTTCTGCAGCGTGGAAGCTGGATGAGTGGAAGCGAGAGTTCTGGGATTTGACGCGCATCGGCATCCCCTGGCAGGACATCGAGTGCAACGACGCCGTCGTATTCGGGTTCCTAGTCGAGATGTTCATTGGCGAGGTACGCGCACGCTCTCTTGTTGCTGTCCTGTCGCTCTCCCGTCGCTCTCCAACTCTGACAGATCTATCTTGCTCTCTTGTTCTGTTTCTGTCTCCCGCTATCTCTCTTTTGATCTCTCTCTCTCGTTCTTTCTCTCTCTTTTTTTTTTTCTTTGCTGATCTTACCCCATTTTCTCTTCTCATCCAGTTCATCTGGCATCAACCGAGCGCACGCAGGTTTCTCTCATATCTGCGCGAGTCTCGTTCTCTCGACTCTCACGCCAGCTGCCACCGTGTCGTCATCTATCCCGATGATGGTGACCCACCGCTCGACTTTCCTCGCTTGCAGTTCTCCTTGCATTCATTTCGAATTTCATCGGTTTTCAGTTTCTCGCGCGTTTGTTCTCGTTCGTTTCCACACGCGTCCCTTTCTCTCGACTCTCGCTCCAGCCACCCCCTCGTCTCTCACCGCGCGACCTCCCAACGGCGGTGACTCCCCGCTCTCGGCCATCCTCACTCATTGCGACTTTCCTCGTCGTTTTCCAGTTTCTCGCGCGCTGCACGGACGAGCTGGATTCTACGCCAATCATATCGGTGCACTTCCACGAGTGGATGGCGGGCGTCGGGCTGCTGATGGCGCGCGCGCACCGCCTCAAGGTGGCCACCGTCTTCACGACGCACGCGACGCTGCTCGGACGATACCTGTGCGCAGGATCCACCGACTTCTACAACAACATCACGACGGTACGTAGCGGGGACGCCGCCGTAACGGCGTGCGGAGCCTGGGTGGGGGGGCGTCCTTCGTAGTGCGAGGGAGGGTGAGGAAGAAGGAGAGGAGAGGGCGTTCCGTTGGGGAGGCGGGGGTGGGGGGGGGGTGTCGGGAGACCGCAGTGTGAGTTGAAATTATTTTCGACTGGTCGACTGGATAAGCAGTGAGTCATGCCACGGGATTGATTCACTATGTTAAGGTTAGGGTTAGGGTAAGGGATATAGTTAGGATTAGGGTTATGGTTAGAATTAGGTTTAGGATTAGGGTTAGGGGTAGAGTTATGGTTACGGTTAGGGTCATTATCATAGATAGGGTTAGGATTACGATTAGGGTTAGAGTTAGGCTTAGACTTAGAGTTGGGTCTTGGGCTCATATAAACCGCACCGCGCCGGCGAACCGAACTCCGAAACCAACACAAGCCGTCGTTACGGTCGCGAGTCGGTCACTGATATTCCTCACAAGCGCATTTCACGAACTCGCGGATGTCGCTTAACCGTGTTTACAGTTTGACCTGGACAAGGAGGCGGGTAACCGTGGCATCTACCACCGATACTGCATGGAGCGCGCCGCGTGCCACGTCGCGCACACCTTCACCACCGTGTCCGACATCACAGGCTTCGAGGCAGAACACCTGCTCAAGCGAAAACCAGGTGCGTACTCCCCCGACCGAGCATGATGCATGAAGGATGGGATAGGGGTGGGGTTGTAGCAAGGAGGTTAAAGGGGGAGGAAGGTTAAAGTATCTACCTCGACAGAGTCCTGCCTGTCGGTCTGTGCATGGGCTTGGTACTTGTGTACCGCGAAATATTTCGATAATTGTGCGATTATTGTAGCAAGGTTAGAGGTTTTTCCACCTCTTATAATAGGTGTTGTCATCCTTTTTTCTAGATATCATCACGCCAAATGGCTTGAACGTGATCAAGTTTGCGGCGTTGCACGAGTTCCAAAATCTCCACGCAATTGCGAAGGGGAAAATCAACGAGTTCGTTAGAGGCCATTTTTACGGGTAGGTTGTGTTGAATTCACGCGTACTTATGTGATGTAGTAGGATGTGTTGAAGTACTCGTATTAGACTAATTTAGTCTGCCACACCCTTCTAGATTGCACCAAGAAATGAAGAAATATAAATATTTATTGTTTAATATGTGATGTTATGAATATAATATATTTATAATATTATAATTATTATTATGTGCCACAGTAATAACATTTCTCAACTTAAATTTTAGAGGAAGCTTTATATCAAATCCAGATACCCGTTGCAATTCATATTAAACACTAGAGTATTTACTGATTATTACTCTGCTTCAATTTTGCCAGTAATTATGTAATATGTGATGTGCACGCTCTTTTCTTTGCAGCCATTACGACTTCGACTTGGACAAGACAATATATTTCTTTATTGCTGGACGTTACGAGTTCAGTAACAAAGGAGCGGACATATTCATCGAGTCTCTAGCGAGACTGAACCACTATCTGAAGGTAAGAGCTACAAGAGGGACTTCACAGGACTGAAAGCATGGTAAACGCAGTATTTATCACAAGGATCCAAGAACTTTGGTGTTCATAACGTAACAAGAACATAAGAACTCACATGTAGCCACGGCCATGGTTTTTTTCTGTTTTTTTTTGGCTTAAATATTGTTTGTAAAGATAATGAAGATGATGATGATGATAATTATAATAATAATAATAATAATAATGATAATAATAATAATAATAATAATAATGATAATAATAAAATAACAACAACAACAACAACAGTAATAATACTCTCCCGAATTATTATCGCATGTGCTGCCCCCTGCAGGCAGCAAACAGTCAGACGACGGTGATCGCGTTCCTCATCTTCCCGGCGCGGACGAACAACTTCAACGTGGAGTCGCTGCGTGGGCAGGCTATCGTCAAGCAGCTTCACCAGACCGTCACCAATATCAAAGAGAAGATCGGCGCGCGCATGTTCGAGACCGCCTGCAGGTGAGTGGCGCCACCTGGCATCAGTGTAGTCTCGGGGTGGCGCCACCTATCATCAGTGTAGTCTCGGGGTGGCGCCTGCAGATGAGATGACGCGCGTGGACACACGACGCCACATTTTCCTTCGTCGAGCACTTTTTCACCTTCCTCTCCTTCACTGTCCACGTCGCCGTCGTCGCTCGTGCGCGCGTTCGCTCGGCGGGTGATTGACTGCGACATTGACGGCGATGTTCCACTCACGGATCTCGTCGACAATTGACAGCGCAGCTCGTCTTTTCTTTCTGCGCAGCGGCAAGATCCCTCAGGGCGACGACATCACCCAGTCTGAGGACGTCAATTCCCGGACGCCACCTTTATTCTCGCCGTGCTCTCCCGCCTTCGTCGCTCTCCTCTACCCCCCCCCCCTCCTCCCCGTCGCGTCTGCACGCTTGCGTCTTGAGCGACCGACGGTGAAGTTACGCGTGGCTCTTGTTTGTCTCGTGCGCAGCGGCAAGATCCCTCAGGGCGTCGGAGGACATCGATTCCCGGACGCGACCTTTTCTATCGCCGTGCGCCTTTTTTTGCATTCGTCGCTCTCCTCGACGCATCTGCGCGCTTGCGTCTTCGTCGGTGACCGACGGCGATGTTACACTTCTTGTTTGTCTCGTTACGCAGCGGCAAGATCCCTCAGGGCGAGGACATCCTCAAGTCGGAGGACATCGTGAAGCTGAAGCGATGCATCTACGCGACGCAGCGAAACACGATGCCTCCGATCTGCACGCACAACATGGTGGATGACAACAACGACCCCGTGCTCAACAACCTACGCCGCTGCAACATGTTCAACAACCGCACCGACCGCGTCAAGGTGAGCGCCCTCTGGTGTGCGGTTGTCGTGTATTGGAGGATGTTTAGTGCCCTACAAATTGGGAGTGCGCAGTGGTGCCCTACCTAGTGGCAGTGTCCCCTGGTTAGCAGAGCCCTCTGGTGCCCTACCTAGTGGCAGTGTCCCCTGGTGACCTACCTGTTAGCAGAGCCCTCTGGTGCCCTTCCTGTTGAGAGCACCCTCACCTCTGCTGATCCTGCTACGAGTGCCCTCTATCTACATTCGACTCTGCGAACGTCCCCTCTGCCCGTGCGCGTGTTTGTGCGCGCGTTCACGCCGGTCTTCTTCTTCTCTTGCGCAGGTTCTCTTTCACCCGGAGTTCCTGAGTTCGACGAGTCCGCTGCTCGGCCTCGACTACGAGGAGTTTGTCAGGGGATGCCATCTCGGCGTCTTCCCGTCCTACTACGAGCCGTGGGGCTACACGCCAGGTACGGGCGAGGGGTGGGTGCACGATCTGTCGCGCGTACGCGTGAGGTCGTATGTATGTACGACGGTGTCTGTAATGTGTGTCTACCCGTCCTACTACGAACCGTGGGGCTACACGCCAGGTGAGCGTTCTCGCGCAAGGTAAAAAATACACGGGAGCGATGAGCGATTCGCTCTTCGAACCTCCGAAATCGCTCCCGTGAGGCTCAAAATAGCTCCCGTAAAATTTTTGACGAGCTATTTTTCCCACAGACTTTTGAAAAAGCTCCCATGGAATAAAAGTTATTTTTCCCCTGATTCTCGCGCAGGGAGGGGAGCGCAGTAGCGATTCGTTGCACGAGGCGCTCAGCTCTAATGTTGCGAGTCTCGCCACAGTCCTGATTCGTCGCCTGAGACAATTGACTATAATTTTTCCGTAAATCTCTCCCCTTAGTCGACGCACTCGGCCCTTAATCTCTCACTTCGGCCGAGTCATTTCCTGATTCATTGAGTGAGACGCGCAGCTTTGTTTTATGCGTCAATCTCTTGCCTCAGCCGAGTGGTTTTCTGATTTATTGTTCGATGTGACTCACTGTAATATTTTGCGTCGATCTCTCGCGGCAGCCGAGTCTTTCGTTGCTTGAGACGTCGCTCAGCTCTAATGTTTTGCCTCGCCTTTCTCGCGGCAGCTGAGTGCACGTTGATGGGTGTCCCCAGCATGACTAGCAACCAGAGCGGCTTCTAATATTTACTGTTGATCTATCGCTGCAGCTCTAATATTTACCGTTGATTTTTCGCGGCAGCTTTTAATATTTACCGTTGATTTCTCGCTGCAGCTGAGTGCACGGTGATGGGCATCCCCAGCATGACTAGCAACCTGAGTGGCTTCGGATGCTTCATGTCGGATCACATCGCCGACCCACAGTCGTACGGAATCTACATCGTCGACAGACGCTACAAGAGCCCAGAGGAGACGGTCCGCAACATGGCGCAGGTACGCGTTGCCGTCGGTTACGCGCATATCCATGGTTCGCACAGTCCTTGAAAGGTCCTTGAAATTGAGGGGAGTCCTTGAAAAGTAATTGAATTTAGTAAATGTTTATTTTGTCCTTGAAAAGACCTTGAATTTCATGAAAATGTCCTTGAATTTTTAGAAAGAATCCTTGCCTGTAATAAAACGAAATTTTGTACCATCAATAATGTGCAAACCTCAATAAAATTGCATTAAATGAGCTTAAAAAGCTATAGACACGATGGACAGTTAAATGATTATCACAAATTACAGTAAGTCAGTAAAAAACCAGTCAGGAAATCATGGTATGTTGTAGAAGTGACAGTGTTTAGAAAGGTTTATTAATGTGATTTAGGTAAGTTTTAGAGGTGACTGATTAAGAATGGGGTTATTAAATTATTCCAGGTATGTTTTGTTCTGTGTATAAATTCTGATAAAATGTCCGATAAAATGTCCTTGAAAAGATTTTCAGTCCTGTATGAACCATGATATCCTTCCTACCTGTGTGTTTGTTATATTATTTGTTGTTCCTACCTGTCTGCTATACGTTTTGTTCCTCTCTTTCAGTTATATCCGTTTTGTTCCTATCTTTCAGTTATATACGTTTGCTTTGTACCTGTCTGTTATATAAGATTACCTTCCTACCTATCATTCACCAATACCAATCTTACCAATCTCACTGTACAGTGTGTATCTACCGAATCTTTAGGAGTACGTGTGTATGGCGGAACTGTTTCTCGTCGGTTGTTGCCTAGCAATGCATCGTTAACCGTGTCGTCTGCTCGGCAGATGATGTTCGACTTCACGCAGCTGTCTCGCCGGCAGAGGATCATACAGAGGAACAGGACGGAGCGTCTGTCTGAGCTGCTCGACTGGCAGAACCTGGGAACGGTGAGTGAGCGAAGCCTCGTCGTCATCGTCGTTGTTGTTCACCGACTCCGTCCGCGCCCGTGGTTGCGTCGCTTCGAAGGCATTTTGTTAGAAAAAGTTTCTAAGCAGCATTTTCTCAGCAGCATAGTTGCTCAGAGAGCTGGCACACCTTGCGCCTGTTGATTCGGATGTGAGCGTGCGTATGTTTGTGCGTGCATGACCTTACGATATCTATACATTATCTTATGATATGTATCCACCTTTTTATGATGTCTATATATATAATCTCATGATATCTATACATCTTTCTATAATATGTATATGCCATTGTATGAAATCTATCCACCTTATGATACCTTATATCATCTTATGATATCTATACGTATACGTACTTATGCATCTTTCTATGAGATCTACATATCGTCTTACAATATCTAACCTGTCCCCGCATCCTCTCTCCTGCCTGCAGTACTACAGGAAGGCGCGAAGGTCGGCCATCAAGGCCGTCTATCCGGAGATGTTCCAGGACGACGACCGCATGTCCGTCTCGAGCATGAAGTATCGGTTCCCGCGACCCCCGTCGGCTCTCCCGTCGCCGTCGAGCTCCCGCGCGTCCACCCCGCCCCCGTCGCCGAGCGAGGACGAAGACGAGGAGGACGAGGAGGAGGATGAGGATGAGGCTCCTCTCTCGTTCACGCCGCGCTCGGAGGAGGTCGACGATGAATTCGAGCAGCTGATCATGAAGAGCAAGGACAACGTGAACTGACGGGGGCGAGCGGGAAGCGAGACTCCTCGAGCGGGAGGGAGCGAGGGGAGGGTAGGATTTTAGGCTTAGGCGTAGGACGAAGGTTTAATGGGGCACTGCTGCTGCTGCTGCTGCTCCTGCTGCTGCTGCTGCTGCTGAATGGCTGTTGGTGGTGGTGGTGGTTAACTACTGCTGCTTGCTGCTGCTGCTGCGCGTTGGTGGTGGTGGTGTGGGTGCTGCTGCTGCTGCTGCTGTGCGTGTGGTGCAGGCTGCTGCTGGTGCCCTGCTGCTGCTGGTTGTGGTGTGGTGGTGTGCTGCTGCCTGGCCTGCGGCGCTGATGGGGAGGGGTAGGGGTGATTTCTTGGAGGTGAGGCTAGGCTACGTGCGTTGTCGTTAACAGGAGAGTGTTAGGAGAGGCTCTCCTTCCCTCACGAGATCCTTCGAACAAGTTATATTCTACAAGCCGGCTAGCAATCCGTGTGTATATAGTTAGGTCAGTCGGTCGCAAACACTAGCGGTTTTCGCTGCGTTTTATCATGATGTGTCGCCGCCGTGGCAAAACCCAACTGGTATTTTCGTGCAGCTCAATTCATTAGGAGAAACTCAAGAGAAACTCTCTCTACACTACACAGTCGATAGAAATGCGATCACACGGAGACTACGCGATAAACTGAAGGGAGGGGGGAAGGGAGGGGAGGGGACGGTCAGAGGGAGGGTCGGGGAAAACTGCTTTTTCTCTGACAGTTTCGACGCGAAAGTTGATTCGTGCAGATCGTTACTGCAGGCTGTTTGCGGTGTAACGCCGTAAACGCGGTGGTTTCGTCACTGCACGGCGACAGACGCGGTCGGGTTTACTTCATATGCAATCAATTTGCGTCATATTGCTGGATGATCGCTTGAGGGCGGCGAGGCCACGACGCGCACAGTGGCTCCCTCTGCTCACGTGATTCGCAGTATTACTAGGTTATTAGGCGATAAACGACGTGTCATGGCGGAGCCGACGTTTCGTCTTGCAGCGGTGTGATCGCGCTGTGCGTGCGTGCGCACTCGTGCTGCTTTCAGCGACGTGCCAAAGCTAGCGAAATGTTATACATGCGCTGCGCTGGCTTATATATATATATATATATCTATCTTATATACATACATATCAGAAGTAGATAATAGGGAAGGAGTGTGACTTAAAGAACATGGCTAGTAAATGACGAATTTCCCATGTTTAATGAAGTCACACTCCTTCCCTATTATCTACTTCTGATACATATATATATATTATATATATCTTTATATATATTCCCGTGCGCTAATTTGCTTGACCGCGAGCGTTGGTTCGTGACCCCGTTATATTGACAGTGACCAAGATCGGGAGGTTTATATTTGCTTGCTCACCCACACCTTCCAGTATCTCACTGTAATAGAGAGTTAGTGCACATTGTGACAGTCGTCACACGCTTGGGTACAGTGTCTCGGGTTGCTGTCAAAGGGTTAAAGACCACTGATCCGGTGGCTTGATTTCTGCTAGCTGCTCTTCATGTCGGTGAATGTTTCTCAAAGAACGTTTGTGTATGTAGCCGACAAGTGTTAGCATGTGCTGTGCGTGTGCGTGCGCATGCGCGCGAGAGCATCGTCTGCAGTGTGGTTATATCTGAGCGACAGACCCTTCTACTGTGTCGTCGCTGTGTCAGCCCCGCTGCTGCTGCTGCTGCTGCTGCTGCTGCTGCTGCTGCTGCTGCGTGCTGGTGTTCTTTTACGCCCTTCCGCAACTAATAGGCAGTTTTAGTTTGTTTTGTAGTGTAACGTTTACGAGAGAGAGAGAGTTGTGTGTTTTTACGAGCAATCCGTTAAATCTCATGCGAGTGCAACGGAGGCGGGTGCCGTTTCGTCTGTTATTTAACCGTTGTGCAAGTCTTGTCGACTTACTTTGTCGAAAGCAAAAGGGAGGGAAAATAACTTCCCTGGTGTAAGTTGGCGGGTGTTTATGTAAAACGGTCGCACGAAAGTTGAATAATATCAAGTAACGAGGCCTCGACACTTTAACCGGTCGTCAAATACAGAAGTCAATTAGGTTGTCTAATTAATTATACGTAACTGGATGTTTTATGCACTGCTGATCATTTTTCGTGTAGACCTTGTTTAAAATTTGCCATCAATTATCGATTAAGATACGATAGGGGCTTCCCAGTCTGGATGGTTTTCACTCCTCCGGATGTCGTCTCTATGTTTGGATGTCGTCTCTATGTTTGGATGATGGGCAGACCCCGCGAGTCCTGTCTTCGGGCTGGATGAAATAATCACGTGACTTGACTCGATGTTATAGTTCGTAGAAATCAATAAAAAATATAGTAATTGTTTGTCCAACAGTGAAAAGTTATCAAAAATGTAGCTTTATAGTTGTTTCAGGACTTCATGCGCGTATATAGGGAGCAATCATGTGTTCACAATGTTGTTGGAAAATACTAGATAGCACGGAATGCGGTGTGTGTAATATTAGCTGTTAACTAGAGCGTAATAAACTTTAAAGGAAGTTGACCAAATGTTTGTGATGTGTGCGAGTTATTGTTCTGATTTGTTGATCTGTCTATCTACATGGTTCCCCATCTACATCCTTCACAGAATTATCTTTTCACACAATTGTATCACACAATGTACTGTATCACTGAGAAATTTTATTATTTGAACTGCTCAACACTATTGCATTTATCAGATTTTTTCTTCATGAAAAAGACTGTCTTCAGTACATGTATTTGTAGTTGAATTACATTCCATAAAGATAATAATAACAATGATTAACAGTTGCCAGTTCTTTATGCTGACCTTTCATCTCCTGTGTCAAGCAGTAACATTAACAGTGAATAAAAGTAATCACTCTCTGTCTCACCGCTTGAGAGAGGTTGATATATAGATTTTTGTCATTGCCAACTTCCATTCCAATGGTGGAAATTAATAGGAAGACAATGCATAGTATGTTGCATCTTGACATTCTATCGCCATCTAGTGTGAATAATAATAGAAAATAATTATAAAGTGGGCATTATTCCTTACTCCCCTCTCGCGGATGGTATCGCCCACGACCAGTCAAGCGTTGAAAAACATTTGCAGGTAAATGGCCGTATTTCAGCCGAAACTTTTTCACAACTGGAGGCACAAAATGTTAATTTACACCTATAATACACGCGCACGCGTGCGTTCGACCATACCGACGTGTGCGCGTCCGTTAGTGTGTGTATATGTGTTTTTGTGACTGTAAAAATGCGTATTATAGCCGTAAAATCATATTTTGTGCTGTGGGGGGGTGAAAATGTTGAGGCCGAAAACCAGCCATTTGCCTAGCTAACTTTTCACAGTGCAACTGATGCCGTGGGCGATACCATTTGGGAGAGGGGGATCACTTATTTCCGAGAGAATATATTCTGATAGGATATAGATTAAAGTACCATATAAATAGATAGACATATCAGATATAAATAGATATAAATAGATAGAATACCAGATATTGAACGAAAAGGTAGTTTTTTTCTGGGTTTTTCGTGATGGTTGATTCTATATGGTACATTATTACTGCTAGGTACTCAGTATATGGTTCCCACAAGTGTGAATTATTTTTCCAGACTTCAAGGACATTTTAAGGACATGTTTTTTTCAATGACAATCTGTGACAAGCAGTTATAGCATTTTAGAGTCATATATAATATATAATAGGTTCATGTCTTTTAGATTTATATATAAAGTAAAAAATAATTGTTTTACACCCTAATTCAATGAGAGCAATCCTTTCTCTATAAACTTCTTTTTAATAGTACTTGCTGAGCTGATGAAATTAAAGATCTTCTTCAGCCTCCAACCCATGGAAGAAACCATTAAGGGCCACCATAAAGGACAAAATTCAAGGACTTTCAAGGGCTGTGGGGAACCCTGTATGTATGTATGTATCTCTCTCTCTCTCTCTCTCTCTCCTCTTATATAGATATATAGGTAACTATATATACATCTTATAATGCTTTAACTTTGATTATGAAAAGTCCACCTGCATAGACAGGGTCGATAAAACATACAAAACAGAAGCATCGAGGAACTACAAGGACTTTAATTTAACTTGGCCCTGTACGGTGTATCAATGCGTTATAATTAACAGCAATCACTTCAAACCGCCTCCCATTAAATGAACCCATGTGTGTTCAACATGAAACTGTCTGTAGTGTGTATAGCACATGTTAGATTGCCTCGTAACTTCTGAAGTTGAGAGACTGTCATCAAACTCTATGAAATCGGCCTATGCTAATGTATAGGGGCAATGTTCGCCACTACAATTATATTAGTGTTACTTACAATTTGCTATAGGAATATTTTATTATATTATTTCTTCTCTCTTTCCCTACCCATAAAAATAAATCAAACGAAAATAGAGCATCCAATTCCATGTACTTGACTGTTTTATTGTTACCTCTGCGAAAAATACAGAGCGGAAAAAAAGCCTCAGTAAAAGTACACCGCTGAGTGGGAGGTTCGCCACATCAGCCGTTCACGAACAGAATAACCGAATAGACAGGCGAGCCCCCACGACGCACCGGCGACCCAGAGAAAGCGTCCGACACCCCCGTGCCTCCCGCCGCGTGTATAGGACGGAGGGGAGGGCGGAGGGGACGAGCCCCACGACGCACCGCGACCCAGAGGAACGTCCGTCACCCCCTCCTCCCCCGCCGTGTGGAGGAGGGGGGAGGGGGAGGGGAGCACGCGCGCTCGACCACGGACGTGTGCTAACTATACAGTGCTGCTGCTGCTGCTGCTGCTGCTGATGTTGCTGCCGCCGCTGCTGCTGCTGCTGCTGCTGCTGCTGCTGCTGCTGCTGTTGTTGCTACTGCTGCTGCTGCTGTTGCTGCTCTCGGCTCAACATCAAACATTCGGTATCGTAATGGAGCACCAGTTATTCATTATTGATAAGACCCGATCATCAGTCGCTATAGCGAGATGTTCGAGTGTTTGTGCGCGCACACCACGGCATCGCGCGCGCGCGCAAACAGAATGTTTCACTTTCACGTTTCGTCAGAAGCGCCTCAAATAAAGAAACGTTTCAAAGGCGATGACGTAAAAAAATCATATTCGTCCGCACGGACACGGGGCGTCGCCCCCGTCCCCACGGACACGGGCGTTGCTAGGGGCGCGCATGCACGCACGCACACACACACACGTAAACACAAAAATGAAATGGAAA